TTCTGGTTACCCCCTTTTAAAAAAAGAAAGGCTACAAACAGATTTTGAGCAGTGTTATACCTTACTATGGACATGGGGACAAAACCGACTCCCAAGCTTTACTGCTGTACAGGGATGAGCTGAAGAGATGCATGTATAGGCAAAAGAATAGTCATATCTCAGCTTAATGTGGTAAGATAAGACTGCCCACACTGGAGATTATCTAAGCAATTATAATATTAGTGCTTCTTGAATTTGAAATATGATTACTGATAAATATTTGAGCGATATACATTGCGTAAGTAGAGAGCTAAAACTAACAAAACCAGTGTTTCAGGGGGAAATCAGATCTCTCAGTCTTCTGTAACAAGAGATAACTACAAAAGAGATAATGTAGGTTCAACTGTCTCCTCAGGAAGTATTGTAAATTATCTAGGAAGCCACAGTACATTATGAAGTTGGCAAAATAGTTTTTTTTCAGTCTGTGAAATACACACCACTCACATTTTGAATGCAAAGGACAGTATGCAAATAGTGTAATTTGATGTGTATTTACTAGGAAACTCCGTAAAAATCAGTAGTATACATTCTCAATTCATTTGCATTAGATTGCAACACAGCAAGACAGAAGCACCCTGTTGATGGAGATTAAGTGTGATCAACTGAGATCAAACACATTTTGAAGCAGAATAACTGCTTCATCAGAGGATATGGTAATGAGAGCTTTCCAGAGGAACTATTCCATGATACAAAATGCTTCTGATATAGTCTATTTTCCTTCATAGTACATTAGATTTTATTCATACACTTGGTGCTGCTCTAATGCTAAAGTCATCTGTTTCAAGCAGGTGAATAAGTATGTGCAGCAAACCGAAAGGGGATACACGTGGGTAAAGAAAAGAGGAACTAGTATTGCTTCTGTTCTCTCAATGTACAGAAGCAGCCTTTAAAAATTACAAGAAAAAAAGCAAATGGGAAAAGAAGATAGGAATAAAACAGTTAAACGCAAGCAAATGCAACAACATATACGGTCTCGTTTCTGTTGGGGGGAAAATGCACATAAAAATAATAAAACAGTATTAAGTATACTGATTAAGGAGTATATTGCTGAATTCAATAGTATTTACTTCTAAGTATATAACTGCATGTGTTGTATTTCCCAGCATTTCTCATATTAACCTATGAAGTCATAAATACTGCACCAGATCTGATTTTGACAGTTAAGTGGGAATACTACTGATCAGTATTTGGATGGGTGCTATGGGCTCGGTGGTCGCTCCCCCCCCCCCCCCCCCCCCCCCGACTTTGAAATGCCCTCCTCAGAGAGATTAGGCAGGCCCCTACACTGTCCTCTTTCTGTAAGGATTCAAACACTTGGATGTTTAAACAAGCCTTTGAGAATGTCTAGCCCCAATGGTCCGCAATTAATAACACAGCACTGCACTTTCATCCCATGTACTTGGCCCTTAGCTAAAATTTGCACTATCCCAGTCCCTTGTCTTGTTTACAGTTGGCCATGTCTTATGGCAATTGTCACTATAGGTTGTTGTTCTGAGCGTTGTTCTGAGTCTTAAATTATTGTTTTATATGCTATTTATTTTACTTTTTTGTATTGTACTGTGTGTTTATTTTATGCATTCTTTTTAGGCACCTTGTGTCATATGTAATCCACCCAGAATCCCTTTGGGGAGATGGAGGCGGGGTACAAATATAAACCCCACGACCTCTGAAGATGCCTGCCATAGATGCAGGTGAAACATCAGGAGAGAATGCTTCTGGAACATGGCCATACAGCACAGAATACACACAACAACCCAGTGATTCCAGCCATGAAAGCCTTCGACAATACAAAAATAAAGTTATTATTATTATTATTATTATTATTATTATTATTATTATTGAATGGTTACCTATATGTAAGCTGCCTTGAGTCCCCTTTGGGGTTGAGAAAGGCGCGGTATAAATATGGTAAATACATAAATAATCTGAATTGTTTTAATATTAATGATGTTTTATCCTTTTAAAAATATGTGTATATTTTAAATTGTATCGCAATGCTTTTAATTCTAGTTCCTTTGAGTCTCCTTATGGACAGAAAAAGCGGGATATAAATAAACATAATAGGTAAAAGTAAAGGTTTTCCCCTGACATTAAGTCCAGTCATGTCCAACTCTGGGGGTTGGTGCTCATCTCCATCTCCAAGAGCCAACATTGTCCGTAGACATCTGCAAGATCATGTGGCCAGCATGACTGCATGGAGCACCGTTACCTTCCCACCAGAGCAGTACCTACTGATTTACTCACAATTGCATGTTTTCAAACTGCTAGGTTGGCAGGAGCTGGGACTAACAGTGGGAGCTCACTCCACTCCCTGGAATCAAACCTGCCTGTGTCATCAGTTGGGAGCCCCTCCTCTCAGCACCAACTGCTGCTCTGGGCAAGAGTGAAGAGTGAGGGGACCAGGAGAACAGTTCCATCCTGTCTCCCGTACTTTGCTAATAATATAATATATTGTATATTCATATAATATTTATAATATTTTAATGTAATACAATATAAGACTACGAATAATAATAATACAATATTATAATTATATATTTTATATTTTATGTAATATTACTAATAATATTACAATATAATGGTATAGTACAATATAGTAATATATAATACTGATATTGTGTTATGCTAAGAATATATTGCATGTATATATATCTTGTAAGCTGCTCTGAGTCCCCTTCGAGGTGAGAAGGGCGGCACCCAGGGTGAGGCAGCATAAATTCCTTTTTTAAAATGTGTGCCATTCAGTCGGTTGAAGGCGTAGTGGAGCGCTAGTGGTCTCGTTTGAGAGGCGGGAGTATAAAGTTTTGTCCTGACACAGTTCAGTCGCCATCATGCGTTGGAACAGTGAGGAGCGTGCTTTTGTCGTTGAGGCCTACTTTTTGAGCAGATTTGGAGTGGCAGGCCCGCTCTCCAGATTTGGCCCCTTGTGATTTTTTTCTATGGGGTTTTTTGAAATCCTGTGTTTATGTGAACCGTCCAAGGACCCTACAAGATTTGAAGATCAACATCCAGGAAGAAATTGCCAACATAATGCCTGCTATGCTGGCAAGAGTCATGACAAACACCAGAAATCAGTTTACTCAATGTATGGAGAATGGGGGACGTCACCTACCTAATTTGATGTTAAAAACTACGTAAAACAAAACTTTAGGTATGTGTCTACATTATAAAAAAAATAATAAAAATTCTGATTCATACAATGGATTTTATTAAGTTTTGAAAAAAGGAAGTTATGCTGCCTCACCCTGTAAATGCCATAAATAAATAAATAAATAAATAAATAAACCTTTCGGTCAGCCAGTTCATCAGCTCAGTGCTTTAACCCAATGTGCAACCGGGGGCTCCAAAAATAAACATAATAATAGGAATAATAATAATAATAATAATAATAAATGTCTAGAAAGTCATGCTTCCCAGTCTTCCTTTGACGATGGCCATGATATAGAACAGGGGTCCTCAAAGTTTTTAAACAGAGGGCCAGGTCATAGTCCCTCAAACTGTTGGAGGACCTGATTATATATTGTCGAAGGCTTTCATGGCTGGAATCACTAGGTTCTTGTAGGTTTTTTCGGGCTATAGGGCCATGTTCTAGAGGCATTTCTCCTGACGTTTCGCCTGCATCTATGGCAAGCATCCTCACTAACTCAATACCTCTGAGGATGCTTGCCATAGATGCAGGCGAAACGTCAGGAGAAATGCCTCTAGAACATGGCCCTATAGCCTGAAAAAACCTACAAGGACCTGATTATAATTTGAAAAAGACTAGAATGAATGCCGATGCACACTGCACATATCTTAAGAGCAGAAAACACTTAAAAACAATACAATAATTAAAATGAAGAACAATTTGAACAAATATAAACTTATGAGTATTTAAATGGGAAATGTGGCCCTGCTTTGGGCTGATGAGATAGGATTGTTGTTGTTGTTGGATGCTTTCAAATCATTTCAGATTTAGGATGACCCTGAGCGAGGGCCGGGTAAATGACTTTGGAGGGCCGTATCCGGCCCCCGGGCCTTAGTTTGAGGACCCCTGGTATAGGACATAATACAGACAGTTGATGTATAATGTATTGTCGAACCCAGTTTATGTATACTTGGAAAGGCAGATCCAAAATACTACATTTTTCAGTTCAAATTACACAGGAAACCAAAAGACAAGTTTGTACTTAAAGCAGTAGTTCCCAACATTTGGTTCTCCAGATTATTTGGGATTTTTTTAGTCAACTGTCAGGAATTCTGGGAGCTAAAGTCCGAAACCAGGGGAGGCCCAAAGGCTTGGATGATGACCACTGCAATAAGGAAACATGACCTTCAACAGCCAATAAGGAACACTACAGAGCAGGCATGGGTAAACTTCGGCCCTCCCTCCCTCCAGGTGTTTAACTCCCACAATTCAACAGCCTACCGGCTGTTAGGAATTATGGGAGTTGAAGTCCAAAACACCTGGAGGGAGGGCCGAAGTTTGCCCATGCCTGCCATAGAGTTTCGAATAAGAGAAGCGCTTGAGGCCTGGTTTTGATAATGGAAGACCCCTGCCCGGATTCCCCAGGCCGCCATTGAAGCGCTTTCAAAAAAGAGCCAGGCTTCCACCTCCTCATTCCTTACCTCGACGGCGGGACGTCCCAGAGAGAATCTTACCTCGCCCGGGTTCGCTTCACAGCTACGCCGAATCCGAAGGGCCGGCGGCCATCTTGGTACAGGAAAGGGTCCTCCGCCGTGACCCGCTAGCACAAAACCAGCCAAGCTCCTCCCCGCATGGTTACTCTCTCGTATCGCTATGGCAACGCAAGGGAGGGGGGGCAGAGGAGGAGGGAGAGCGACGCATGCGCCTTTGTGAGCTGCTCGCAGTGACGTGTCGGTCGCGTGCGAAGGCCCCTGAGGTGGGTTTTATTTTTGAAGGGGGGAAGGGGGGGAGGGAGGGACTCATGGTGTGGGCGGAGTTGAGCGGCGAGGGGGAGGGAGCCCCTTTGCGCATGCGCGGCGGGGGCTGTGACGTTCTTGGGCGGGTTCGGAGGCTGGCGGTTGTGGCGGTGCTCTCGAGGCGCTTTTGGGGCGGCGACCAGGTAAGGCGTTCCCCGTCTATTTCTATTATTTGAGGGACGGGAGAGACGCCGGTGGCAACCGCCGCCACCTTCCTCTGAGGGGAAGGAGGCCCGAGAGTCAGGAGAGGCGCCGCAAGGCCTCGGAGGACCCATCTCTCCTCGTAGCCGGGCCTCCGCAGTCGCCAGAGCCTGAGGCGTTGCTCACAACATGCAAAGAAGGGCCCAGAGGGAGAGGGAGGGGGAGGGGGGGGGGTAGAAAGGGCCCGGGATGCATCTTTCACTGTATTTGCTTTATTTATATTTATATTTATCTATCTATCTCGTTTTATATCTTCCTACGAAGACTCAAAGCGTCTCACAATTAAAAACATTACAAATATGCAATAATAAGGCAATATTGTCATTATATATTATGTTATCAGTAGTATCTATATAAATAAATATGTAATCTTTGTTTGTGGGATTAACAGAACTCAAAAACCACTAGACGAATTGACACCAAATTTGGACACAAGACACCTACTAACATTTTTTGAGTGATGGTCACTCCTTGGGTTAGACAAAATACTAACCCAAGGAGTGACCATCACTCAAAAAAAATGTGCAACTTCCAAATGTCAAGGTCTATTTCCCCCAAACTCCATCTGTGTTCATATTTGGGCATATGGAATATTCATGTCAAGTTTGGTCCAGATCCATCACTGTTTGAGTCCACAGTGCTCTCTGGATTTAAGTGAACTACAACTCCCAAACTCAAGGTCAGTGCCCACCAACCCCTTCTAGTGTTTTCTGTTGGTCATACGAGTCCTGTGTGCCACGTTTGGTTCAATTCCATCATTGGCGGAGTTCAGAATGCTCTTTGATTGTAGGTTAACTATAAATCCCAGCAACTGTTTCCATCAGTGCCTCGAGGCCGTTACTGGGTGGTTGCGTGCCAGCAGGTTGAGGGTGAATCCAGCAAAGATGGAGATCCTATGGCTGGGTCGACCGTGCAGTGGGGACATCCAGCTACCTACCCTGGATGGCGAGGCACTACGCCTGCCATCATTGGTAAAGAGTCTAGGAGTTCTTTTGGACCCTCTGCTGACGATGGAGGCCTAGATCTCCACCGTTAGCAGAACCGCCTTTTTTCATCTGCGGCAGGCCAGTCGGCTGGCCCCCTACCTGCCCCGGGACGACCTAGCTACGGTGATCCAGGCCACAGTCATCTCAAGACTGGACTACTGTAACACCCTCTACATTGGCCTTCCTCTGTCGGTGATCCGGAAGCTCAAGTTGGTACAAAATGCAGCTGCTCGGCTTCTTGCGGGAATTCTGATGAGATGCCACATAACACCAATCTTACTACAGCTGCATTGGTTACCAATTGAGCACCGGATCACTTTCAAAGTGATGGTACTCACCTTTAAGGCCTTGCATGGTCTGGGGCCGATGTATCTGAGGGACCGCCTCACCCCCTACCAACCCCAGAGATCCCTCCGTTCTGAGGATCAAGATCTATTGGAAGTCCCCAGTGTCAAGACCTTGCGTCTAACAGCAACCAGACACAGAGCCTTCACAGCAGTGGCACCACCACTCTGGAATACTCTGCCACCTGAAGTCCATGCCCTGCGGGATTGTTTTAAAATTGCTTTTACATTTTGTTAGATTTTAGCTATTCTTGTAAGCCGCTCCGAGCCCCAGGGGAGTGGTGGCATATAAGTTGAAATAATGATAATAATAATAATAACTACAACTCCCAGATGTCAAAATCATTTTTTTTAGTGATGCTCACTCCTTGGGTTAGTAGGTGACTTGTGGCCAAATTTGGCAGCAATTCGTCCAGTGGGGGTTGGTGCTCATCTCCATTTCTAAGCTGAAGAGCCGCCATTGTCCGTAGACACCTCCAAGGTCTTGTGGCCAGCATGACTACATCGAGTGCCCTTACCTTCCCGCCAGAGCAGTACCTATTGATCTACTCACATTTGCAAGTTTTCAAACTGCTAGGTTGGCAGAAGCTGGGGCTAACATTGGGAGCTCATGTCGCTTCCCGGATTCGAACCACCAATCTTTCAGTCAGCAAGTTCAGCAGCTCAGCATTTTAACCTACTGCGCCAACGGGGGCTCCATATTAGGGTTTTATGTATATGCATATTATATGTCTATACAATCTATAATTAACATAGCACAATATTAGTATTTTATATTACATTATTGTACTATGCTATAATATAATAAATACAATAACAATAAAACTTTATTTATATCCCACCACCATCTTCCCGAAGGGACTCGGGGCGGCTTACATGAGGCCAATCCCATCAAATACAAATACAATATATCAACATACAAGCAAGCAAATAAAACAATATAAACAATACAGTTGAACATATAAGCAATAACACACAAAAGATTTAAAATTATGGCAGGGCCAGATGTAGGTTAAAATTTTAAAACCCTAGGTGTGTAAGAGTAGGATATGTCTAGCCATGCGGGTTTTAAATAGTGATATTGGGGGGGGGGGTCAATCCAACGGATAGATAAAGTGTTTCAGAGGACATATAGAAGGAAATTGGTCAGATCGGGTATTATTTAATACTGCAATATTATTAGTAATATTTTATATAAAATAGTTATATTATTATATATTGTTATATTGTGCTATTATTAGTATTATATTAATAATATATGTATAAAATATAGTGTATTCGCATTATATAATATAAGGGCCCTCTGGTGGTGCAGCAGGTTAAACTGCTGAGATGCAGAACTTGCTGACCGAAAGGTTGGCAGTTCGAATCCGTGAAGCGGGGTAACTTCCCGCTGTTAGGCCCAGCTTCTGTCAACCTAGCAGTTCAAAAATATGCAAATGTGAGTAGATCAATAGGTACCACTCTGGTGGGAAGGTAACAGCGCTCCATGCAGTCATGCTGGCCACATGACCTTGGAGGTGCTTGTGGACCATGCCAGCTCTTCAGCTTAGAAATGGAGATGAGTACCAACCCCCAGAATCAGACACAATTAGACCTGATGTCAGGGAAAAACCTTTACCTTTTATACTACTATAATGCAATATTATTAGTAATATATATATAATATAATTATTGTAATATTATTATACCAGAACATGTATACCACCAGTATATTATACTATTAGTATCATACAATATATTGTATTATGTCATTATATGTTGTATTATACCATAAGTTGTAGTATATATAATTTATTATTTATTTATTTCGCGTATTTCTACCCCGCCCTTCTCAACCCCCAAGGGGGGACTCAGGGCAGCTTACAAAAGGCACAATTTGATGCCTACACAATAGTACAATAAACATATATAAACAGCAATTAAAACAGTTATAACAGTTAAAACAATCAATTATATATCACACTCAATGATATATTATATTACAACATTGTATTTTGTTACAACACTATAGAATTAATGTCCAAAGGCATTCAATAATTGCCACATGTAAAGCTTCCTTGAGTCCCCTTTGGGGAAGAGAAAGGCGGACTACAAATAGAGTAAAGAAATAAGTTTGAAACTACTTTAACTGCCATGCCTCCATGCTGTGGAATCCTGAGGTTTGTAATTTGGTAAGGCACCAAATACCAGAGAACTGCAACTTCCATGACTCCATAGCACTGAGCCATGGCAGTTAAAGTGGTTTCAAGCTGCATTAATTCTACAGCGTAGATCAAGCATGGGCAAACTTCGACTCTCCACGTGTTTTGGACTTCAATTCCCATAATTTCTAATAGCCGGTAGGAGTTAGAGTCCAAAACACTTGGAAGGCCGAAGTTTGCCCGTGCTTGGTGTAGATGCAACCTCAGAAGCCTTTATAACACCAGATTTGACATCCTTAGTAGCAGATGAATATTGGATGCTGGTTTACAAAACAAATAGGAAATCTCTTCCTTCTTCCCCACACCACAAACTGTCATGATGGTGATGATTTTGGCAATGCCAGTTGGAGGCATTTCATCCACATCATGTGTAACCTTTCGCATTGTGGAATATAGGTTGCCTTGGAGTCTGGTGGATGGAGCCGCCTCCTCTGAAGGTTTTGAAGCAGAGGCCAGATGGCCATCTGTCCAGAGGGCTTTGGTTGTGTGTTCCTTTTATGATTATTATATTTATATGTATATCCTGCCTTATCTCCTCTGAATGGGACTCAAAGTGGCTTCACATAAGAACATTAGCACAGCATTTCAAGTGTACAAATATTAAAACAAAATTAAATATAAATAGTATTAAAAGATTCACAGTTAAAACCATTCAAACATATTTGATACATCTTCAAAGCTAAAACCACAGCACCCCCTGAATTGATCTTAAAAACCTTCATCTTTAAAAGCTTGCCTAAATAGAAAGGTTATCTATTCCTGCCTGGCAGGATGGGATTGGATTGAGTGGCTCTTATGGTTTCTTCAAAGTCTACGATACTATGATATTACACTATCTGATTAATTTCATAGTATCTTTTGAATATGTCATGTTGTTTTAATTAATGCTGACTGAACACCCCTATATGAAAATTTATGATTCTTTTAGAAAGCATGTTTCAAAGGCAGATGTCAAGAACATCAGATGAATGAGGTGCTTTAATTGTGTATTTCTGCTTGGATGGCCCTTGAAGTCTCTTCAGGCTCTTTTAGGCCTCTTTCCCTCCACGGGTGCCTGTACCCATATAAAAGCAGTCCCCTACTTATAAGCATCCAACTTACAATCGACTCATGGTTAAGAACGGGAGTGAGACAACAGAAAGTGAGAAAAATCTGTCCCTCGGAAGGGAAATCCACTCCTGGAAGAGCTATCATGAGGAAAGGTGCCTTCACTGACACTTTAACACCAATCCTTGTTTCCACAACAAGCAATTTTTTTCAAAATCCAATGATCACAGGGACAGAAAGTGAGGTGAAATGATCTGAACAGGAAACGGACAACAAAACAAATACCACAGGGGTGTTAACCCTTCCCTATGCTAACCAAAGCTACATATACAGAGAGAGAGAGAGAGCTGGAGTTACATTTTTAAAATGTACCTCTTCTTGTTCGTAACTTGGAGACTGCCTGTAGTTGAGATTGCATGTTTTTGGGAGGTACTGTAAATTTGCTTGTTTTATTGTAAAGTGCCATGTACATTTGATAAAGATTTATGAATAGATGATGCTGGTGATGATTGATGATGTTAACCGCTATAGCAACAGCAGCTTTGCTGCATTCCTGGCTGAGATGAAGTGGGGGTTGGGTGGGAGAAAGGGCTTTATCAGTCACCGCCTCCAGTGACTTCCTTCCTCCCTCCCCCCTCTCCTGGAATGCCTCTTGGGACGCCTAGGAATTCCTGTGATGCTAACGCGAGAGGCCGAGGATGCCTCGCAACAAGCCCAGAGAGGAAAACTCTAGAAGGCCCTTTCAGAGAAGAGCAGAACAGCTGTGGCCTCTCTTTTTACATCTGACAGATTTCCGGCCAGAGGTTTGGAATGTGTTGGCCCTGGAGGAGAAAGAGCAGAGGCAGACTGCGGCTGTTTTGTGTTTTGAAATTATGAACACCATTTCAAAGCAGTATATTTCACGATATCAGGGTTAGTGTTACACAAAGTTGCAGATGGTTTATGGAGTTATCAAGTTTTCCTAATCATTTTGAGCCAGAGACAAATGTAAAGAATAAAATGAGGCGGGGTCGCCATCTTGCAAATGACTGAGGCTAGGAGATGTCTGTGTGCCGGGAGGGGCATCTAGTGGTAATAATTTGAAGCTCTATGTCTCACCCTTTCAAGTGGTAAGAGTTTCATTCATGGGAAGCTCATGGTCGTAGAGATAAAATACCTCATCACTAGGCTTGTGCATTTTGGCTAAACCTCGATGTCCCAACTCCCAGTCAGTCCCACTAAATCAGGGGTTCTCAAACTTTTTCAACAGAGGGCCAGGTCACATTCCTTCAAACTGTTGGAGGGCCAGATTATAATTTGAAAAAAAAATGAATGAATTCCTTTGCACACTGTACATATATTATTTGTAGTGCAAAAAACCCTTTAAAACAATACAATAATTAAAAACAATTGAACAAATATAAACTTATTAGTATTTCAATGGGAAGTGTGGGCCTGCTTTTGGCTGATGTGACAGGATTGTTGTTGTTGTTGCGTGCTTTCAAGTCATTTCAGACTTGGGTGGACCCTGAGCGAGGGCCGGGTAAATGACCTTGGAGGGCTGTATGCGGCCGCCGGGCCTTAATTTGAGGACCCTGCACTAAATGAAAAAAAAATCTAGAAAATAAAAATAAAGATTCAAGAGAGGCCAAGCCAAGCCATTAAGCCAAGCTGAAAAAAACTACCTGAGAGTGAGCAGTGGCAAGGCAGTCGGACTGAAGCATGAGGACACAGTTTGCATAAGACACATCACAATATTCTTCTACTCCAATTGACCCAACAGGAGAACCTAGTGCGCGGAGGAGCATGCGGCAGCCTCTTTGCTTGCTGCATTCTCCCGAAAAGCGGAGGAGGAGCCATGATTGACTGCCACATGGTCCCCTTATTGATGGGAACCTGTGACAGTGCTAGGCCCTTGCTGTTACTGCCCTCTGACCCAGCCAAAGAAGCCAGATTGGCTGACAGAAAATGGCTAAAATGGATCTGCACACAAGCCTACTTATCACAGTACATATTAGTATGTGTGTATAGACTTGACATCCCACTTGATTCTCTCCTGTAGGATTTGAGAGTTTGTAGTTTAGGGAGGGTCTTTAGAATTCTCAGACAGGGGTGTATTGGGCTTCACTAAATTACAAACCAGAATTTTGCAGGAGGCAGCCACAAGATTTAAAGTGGGATACCAAATTTATACCTGCTCTTTAAAGTGGGATGTGATGACATCCTATTGATTTCAAATTGGGTATAGCTTTCTGAAATGCTCTTCCCCCACCCCACCACCACCACCACCACCACACACACACAAACACCCTATATGAGTATTTATATGAATACATTATGGGTATAATATAAGAATATCCAGTAAGCATCAATCAGATTTTATGGTTTATTTTACCATAGCAATTGCTGGGATTTTTTAATGTTGTTCAGAGTGCTTTTATATAATAATTTTTATTGATGGTTGGTGTTTTGCATTAATTTTTATTTTATATTTGATCTGTTATGTATTTTGTTTATATGATATATATGTTTATATATGTTTTATTTCATGGTTGTAAGCTGCTCCAAGTCCCTTTTTGGGAGATGGGGCGGGGTATAAATAAAGTTTTATTATCATTATTATTTGTGTGTGTGTGTACACACAAAATTCTTCTTCTTTGGGAGACTATTCTTCTTGCTCCTGTTCTTACATCCAGCTTTGGGGCATGTTGTATCCTATTCAGGCAGGGCGGTGGGGGGAGGGATACTCTTCAGAGGCAACAAAGATGCTTCTTTCTGTTCTGTTACATTGGGATAAATGGCTATATTAAGACAGAAAGCATTGTATCTTGTGTTTTGCTTTTTAAAAACCTCTACGAAAGGCATGCATTGTTCAGAACATGGTTCATTACAAATAATCTCCTTTGGTTCTACCCCATAGCACTTTTTAAAAAGCTTTGATTGCTTTAAATGCCATTTCTTCCAACAATTAGTAATTTTAGAGTTGCCATCTAAGGTTTAATCTAAAGATATCCCATTCTGTTCTGTTTTGATCTCTTTAAAAATTACAGCAGCATTGTGTTCTTCCATGAACTACTTCTTCGTATTGGATCTAAGTATTTTCTCTAGAAGAATATCATTTCATAAATTCATAAGTTTTAAATACTTAAGTAAGAGAAGTCTGCAGTAATGAAAATCTAAATTTAACCATCCTATATGTAAAAGTTTAGTTCATAAGACTTGAAACTTTTAAAAGTTATCAGTGTTTCGTATTGAGTTCCACTGTAGATCTAAATTAATTTGTTTTCTTATCTTTTTCTATATAACATTTTCTATATAACATTTTTTACAGTTTACAGATTATCTTTAGTTAACAGTTTCCTGTAAGGGGGCAAACCTGCACAAACCATGTGTTTGACCTGCAAGTTGTGATTAGAAATCAGTTATCTATTTATGTGGTTTGCCTTTTTCCCAACCTGTATCCTAAAGTTGGCACAACAAACTTAACTTTCTCGTGGCTTCCAATTCCACATGTTACTACAGCCAGCTTTCTGAACTGTATTAAGTTAAGTCCTCTGTTATCCCGCCCATTATTGGCTTCAACAGATTTTAAAAGAGGCTTGAAATAATTTCACAAAACATTAATTGGCTACAAAACACTAGTTCTTCAGATCTCACTCTTGTCAATTATTTGTGACCCTACAGATAAACAACACACCCTCTTTTGTCAGTTGTGTGGGACCATTCTTACTCATGGTAACTACAAAGCAAATAGTTATCCTGTTTTTAAAACCTAGTAGCAAACTCAATATTAAAAAAGGTCAAGTATACCCCCAGTTATTCTCTCTGGCAATTCCAATGGCATATTGCTGGTTCAGAGAGAAAAATTGAAAGGCACTTGCACTGTACCTGATTCCTTCTGGGCAAGTTGTTAATGTTAATATTATGCCTGGGCGTTGCATTCATTTCACAATCCTGTTTTCCCAGTTTCCCAATGACAAAGTCCTAAGGATGTCTAAATCTCTTTGTCTTCGATGGGACTTACACCTACGGAGGTCTGAAGTGTTACACCTTGTGTGTGTAATGAGCCTAAAAAGATCAGGGTGGTGAGACAAAAGCTACGTAATCTGTTGTGAAGATTATTTGCTTTAAAGATCTCCTACCTTATGTAGTCATAGTATTTGTTCTAGTTGATAATACTCTGATTTCATTTCTTTTCTTTCTTTCTTTTTTGCAGATTGAGTGAACCTTCATAAAGATGGCAAAGGTAAGAAGTGATTAAATTCTTTGTATACTGTTTGATTTCAGAATGTATTTTTATATTTATAGTTCATTATTCAAGATATAAATAATCTGTAAACGTCCTACAGAGGCATAAAGATACCTTAACTGTAACAAAAACTATTAAATGTGTGCTCTTTGTGTCTATGAATGTAATGCTGCCTCTTTTATCAAGAGTACAAATGTTTTAGAACATTTTTTTTCTTTTGGAAGAAGCAATGGGAAAATATGGTAGAATTACAAATGGACCAAAGTGGTTCTTTTCCCTCCACCCCAGATTCCATGAATGAAGCAGTGCAGTCCCATAATAAGAGGCGTGTCTGTGGGCATTTCTTTTCTCAGAGAATATAGTTCAGAAAATTATGCAAGAAACAGATTACTGCACATGCTGGGCAACATTTATACAGATGGAGTATCTTTCAGAAACTAATCTTTCTCTTGAAACTCCATGTTACCTGCATTCTATTACTACAGATGATCTCAGTTTTTACTAAATGATTCCCAAAAGATTTGCAAGTTCAAATGTATGGGGGTTGTTTTTCTTCATTTTCTAGGTTTACAAGCAACAACTGGTTGAGAAGATACATGTTTGCATGTTCACTTATTCTAAGACAGGCATTTAATAATGCTCAGAATCAGCAGGGAACCTAAAAACACAAATTAAAATAAATAACATTTTCACCAGTATTATTTTACTCAACACGTATTTTATTTGAAGAATAACAAAAGTTATTTGTCCCTATTCCTACCCTAGATATTTCATGTATGCCTTAGCCCCATTCCTGTTTAAGCCATTTGTATTTTTAAAGCATTTGAATCGTACTTTTAGTGTTGAAGGTTTATATTGCAGCATACTCAGAAGTGTTCCATATTTCCTATATTTCATTCTTGTATTAGTTACATTTATCTTTCCTTCAGCAAGCTTAAGATGACATAAATTATTTTCTTTTTGTTTTATCCTCTATACTAGGGGTCCTCAAACTTTTTAAGATGAGGGTTCGTTCACTGTCCTACAGACTGTTTGGGGGTGGACGGACTGTAATTTGGAAAACACATGAATGAATACAATATTTAAAATGTAGAACAATCTTTACCAATGTGAATTTACCAGTATTTAAATGGGAAGTGTTGACCTGCTTTTGGCTGATGAGATAGCCAAGTTAATTAGAATTATTGTTGTTCTGTGCCTTTTAGCCTGAGGGTGACCTTAAGGCCCCTTCTACACTGCCATATAATCCAGATTATCAAAGCAGATAAACCACATTATCTGCTTTGAACTGGATTATATGAGTCTACACTGCTGTATAATCCAGTTCAAAGCAGATAATCTGGATTGTATATGGCAGTGTAGAAAGGGCCTAAGGCATTTTAACATTGATCTGTTTTGTAAAAAAATCTTTAAAAAAGAAACAGCTGTATCATAGCTTGACATTTACCTCTCTACAATGCAACAAGTAAATATATTCTGATTCTTCAGAAAATAGTTGTAATGACATGTTTTCCAGGCTTTGCAGGGAAGGGAGTTTCATTGTTTAGGGGCAGCCAGGGGATAACTTTGTCTCACATCCTAGCTGACCATGAAGTAACAGTCAAAAGGTGAAAAGGCTGTTGTTTCACAACAATGTGGGGAACACAGGAAACAACCATAAAAGGGGTGGCTGCTCATTCTGAACAACTTGTTTCCAAATACCTTGCTTCAAGGAATTCCTCAGACCTCAACATATTATGTAAAAGGCAACTCTGTCAGCTGCTTCTTCCGTCATTAGTGGTACATCTAGAGTACACCATTGAATTAATACAGTGTGACACTTTAATTGCCATGGGTCAATGCTATAGACTCATGGGAATTGTAGTTTTGTGAGACATCAGCACTATTTGGTAGAGAAGGCTAAAGACCTTGCAAAACTTAAAATCCATAGCACTGAACCACAGCAGTTAAAGTTGTGTCAAACTGCACTAATTCTACTGTAATTCAGATGAGTTTTTCCTAGAAGCCAGGCATTTGGAAATAGGTCACTCCGAATAAAATTATTTTGTTTATTTAATATTTTATTTATTTTCAGCAACAGCCTGCTGAAAAGTTTACAAATCCCGAAACCCCTGGTTATGTTGGATTTGCCAACCTTCCAAACCAAGTTCATCGGAAGTCTGTGAAAAAAGGCTTTGAGTTTACCCTTATGGTGGTTGGTAAGAACTGTTTTCTTAATCTTGAATTGGGCTTGAATTGTAAGGAACTACTGTGTTTTTTAGGTGCAGGCAAATAAGAGTAAAACAAAGAAACCAGCACTTTAGTAAAGCAAAATAATTATTTGTCTCTAGTAGAATATTAGAGAATCAAGCCGACATATAATATACATTCCCATTAAGAGAACTAAGAAAAGATTAACAAGACCAGGATTTTCCCCACTCCTATAATTACCTTGGGTCTCTCCCTCACCCCTGGCTTTCCTATCTCTTAGGCCCTTTTCCACACAACTGAATAAAATTCCACATTTTCTGCTTTCAACTGGGATATATGGCAGTGGGAATTCAGAGCCCTTCCATGCAGCCATATAACCCAGAATATCAGGCAGAAAATCCCACAATGTTTGCTTTGAACTGGGTTATCTGTCTCCACACTGCCATATATTCCAGTTCAAAGCAGAAAATTTGGGATTTTATTCAGCTGTGTGGAGCCCAGTTCAAAGCAGATATTGTGGGATTTTCTGCCCTGATATTCTGGGTTATATGGCTGTGTGGAAGGGCCCTAAGATTAGCTAATACCTGGGCCTTAAAGCAGGAATCTGCAAATTATTTGAACCTTGGATTCTGTCATGAAAGAGATGTAATTGACTTTTGGAAGACGTTTTCTGGCAGCTCTTTCCCTACTGACTTAATTTCAGTATTGGCAGTTAACAATAATAGATATAGAGACAGATGTAACCCCATTTAGTCATGAATTAATATCATTTAAAAAGGTTATCCAGGTTATGTATGTTAGTTGTTAAGAATGAATGATTCCCTTTTGATTCATAGGTGAGTCTGGACTTGGGAAATCTACTCTGATAAACAGCCTGTTCTTAACAGATCTCTATCCAGAAAGGATAATCCCAGGAGCAGCTGGTAAAATTAGATTTTATTATTTTGTTATTTTAATACTATATGACTAATAATGAGTTTTAACATACTTGATGTATTCTTTGTGTGGTCCATTAAAATGAGGGTTAGGTATTTAGTCATAACTGCTTCATTCAATTTTCTTTTGTTTTAAATAATGTCTTACTCATTTTTGCGGTCACAGAAACATCTCTGGCTTTTTGGAGGATCTGGGGTATTTTAAAACTATATCATGCATGTTTCTGTTCCCATATTCAATAGTGGTAGACTATTGGAGAGTCTTTAAAATAATTATTGTTGTTTTATTTAAATATAACATTTGTTTAAATGATAGCTATGATTCCTTTGTATTATTTTCAACCAGTCTTTTCAACATACCATTTTTCCTTGCATTGTACAAATGGGCATTTAATGCAGGATTTCATGTGGAAGTTCCATTCATTTTCATCGTTTTAAGCCTCGATTGGTCTTTATTGGTTTTTATAGTTGAATGCTCTCTTGCTTTTGTCCTCTTAATGTATTTGCTCAACAAAAAATGCTGTTCTTAAGGCATGATGTTGTCATATAATAATTAATTTGTTAATGATTTGTAATTTATTCCAATTATGTAGTATTATCATTACTGTTAATCATAGAATAATAGAGTTGGAAGAGACAACATCGGCCATCTAGTCCAACCCCCCCTGCCAAGATCCCCAATCTTATTTTAAAGTTTTATGTTCATCAATCTTCTGAGATTAGATTTTATTATTTTCTAGAGAAAATTGAAAGAACGGTGCAGATTGAAGCTTCAACGGTTGAAATTGAGGAGAGAGGTGTGAAACTCCGTCTCACCGTAGTAGACACACCAGGATATGGTGATGCCATCAATTGTAGAGATTGGTATGTATTTGGTTAAAATTTTCTAGGTGTATAACCTTCAACTTTCATGTGTTTGTTTTGTGGCAGTTATGCAACACATGGGAGTATGAAATAGTATTTTATAATACGTTCCAGTTTTAGGCAGAAACAGAAAAAAAATCAGTAATTAGGAGTTACATTTTTCCCTCTGGACTCCTTCAAAAGTGATTTCTCAATCTGATATGGAAATAAGTACTTAGTTCTGGTTTACCTTGCAGTGTGTTTTGCGTATACACATCCTTTTTCTGTTCTGTCTTTTCTTGGCCAAATACACTGACTCCTGAGTTTTTTATATTTATGCTTATCTCTCATTACCACTCATATAGTTGAATGAACAATTTTTACAATTCATTAGCTTTGTTGGCCATAGGACCCTATTTTTCTTTCATCTCAGATACATTCAAACTGCCAACGCTTTGTGTAACCACTATCCTTGTGAAGGTATCATTATCTACTTGTTTTTTGCGTCTTGGCACATTTATTATACTGCATGAATGTTGTTTAAGTTCCTTTGTTCAGACGCTAACCAGCTGACAAATAAATAAACAAATTCATTTGCCTTTCAAAGATCGAAGTAGTTTCAATCACCACCTACATCTTCTGCCTCAAGAGGCGTTGGAACCATTAAAAAGAGGGAGTTGGTCAAAATGAGTTAGGAACGGTGGAAGTTCAAACTACACTAACACATCACTAACAAATTTGCTTATTTAAATTTTGGGAAATACGTCAGCTGGATACTTTCAAAATGATGTATGTCATTCCTACACATTATTTCTGATCTAGCTGCTGTGGTTGCCTAACAAATGTTGGAAACATAAATAATATGATTTCATATTTCATAATGTGGATGTGTTGAAGCAGGGCAAGTTTTAATGAATTTAGCTTAGATACCAGAAACTGATTAATAATTACTATACTGTACTCAGAAAAGGTTTCCTAGAACAATAATTACAGCAAAGAATATTAATTGTCAAAAGATTGCTGTATCTATGTGAGAATATTTACTTTAGTACTTCATTGTGACATATTAAGGTCAAGAAGATCTCTGTGTAAGAGTTTTTTTTAATGGATGGAAAGTTCAGCTCTTTCCAATTTGGTATCAGACTACTTCATACCTCCTAACATTCTATCTGTAATTTAACTTTGAGGTTCATTATGAGAATATAAACATATAATCATAGACTAATTCTTCTTGGCATAAGACTCAGTGTCATGCAAAAATCAGTAATAAACATCCAGGGAACTTGACATTTGTTGGAATGACTGTCGCTATGTTAAATTATTCTGTTTAGCACAACATGTATAGATGATGCTATGAAGGAATTTCTCTTCCACTGTTCTGGTCAATGATCACCAAGCGTGATATTTGTGTCTCTACATTCCTTTTAAAATCTGGCTACTGCTTTTGTTACTAAAAACAAAGCAGCTATCTAATCTTCATTATACTGGGCTCCAGTAAAACGGCGTTGAAAACTTTCTACTATGTTTCTCCACAGAGCATTTCCACTTACTCAGCTATTTTATTTCATAAGCTTAAGAATGTAACAAAGACACCAAGTTAAGTGATAAAGCTGGAGTCATACAATGCTTATAAGCTGTTAGGTAATGGATTTTTTCAAGAGATTACCTCAAAAAGCATGTACAGTTGTCTTCACAGCTTTGCAAGCATACTTTTAAGAAGTATATAAAAAGCTTTCTTTGTCTTCAACTTACATTCTAAATACATATGCTGCTGATTTGTCATGTCTCGACATATTTAAAGGTATTAAAATAATAATGTTCAAGTAGAGTTTAAAATTTGTTTGAATACAATATTTAGACAACACTGAATGTACCTTATAACACCCCCCCCACACACACACACACAGGTATCCCTGTAGTGTGAAAAAGCAAAAGGGGAGGTTTTAAGGTGTTTTTTTCATAACATCTTAAATTAAACGGTAAAGCAGATTTCTGTTTTATCGTCGTGCAGAAAATTTAATTATTTTCTATAAACCCCATACTCTGCTAGTTTAGAATTCTTTATTTTATTTTATTTTTATGTTTAGAATTCTTTATTTTATTTTATTTTTATGTTTAGAATTCTTTATTTTATTTTATTTTTGTAGGAAAAGCTATAGGATCCTTTTTTGTCAAGAGTTGTGCTAGAGAACTTGCTAAAGTTGCTGTGAGTTTTCCAGGCTGTATGGCCATGTTCCAGAAGCATTATCTCCTGACATTTTGCCCACATCTATGGCAGGCATAAATAGGATGCCTGCCATAGATGTTGGGCGAAACGTCAGGAAAAAATGCTTCTGGAACATGACCATACAGCCCAGAAAACTCACAGCAACCCAGTGATTTCAGCCATGAAAGCCTTCAATGAACTTGCTAAACTCTTTCTGCCCTAAGGTAGAATAGGGGTTTCTACACATTTTTGGTCTTCAAATTGAAATTGACCTTTAAAAGACTTAGTTGTTGTTTATTCATTCAGTCGCTTCCGACTCTTCATGACCCCATGGACCAGTCCATGCCAGAGCTCCCTGTTGGCTGTGGCCATCCCCAGTTCCTTCAAAGTCAAGCCAGTCCCTTCAAGGATACTCTTCATCCATCTTGCCCTTGGTCGACCCCTCTTCCTTTTTCCTTCCATTTTCCCCAGCAACATTGTCTTCTCTAAGCTTTCCCGTCTTCTCATTATGAGGCCAAAGTACTTCATCTTTGCCTCTAATATCCTTCCCTCCAGTGAGCAGCTGGGCTTTATTTCCTGAAATATGGACTGGTTTGATCTTCTTGCGGTCCAAGGCACTCTCGGTATTTTCCTCCAATACCACAGTTCAAAAACGTCTATCTTCCTTCACTCAGCCTTCCTTGTGGTCCAGCTCTCACATCCGTAGGTTACTGCGGGAATACCATTGCTTTAACTATGCAGATCTTCATTGTCGGTGTGATGTCTTTACTCTTCACTATTTTATTGAGATTGGTCATTGCTGTCCTCCCAAGAAGTAAACGTCTTCTGATTTCCTGGCTACAGTCTGCGTCTGCAGTAATCTTGGTGCCTAGAAATACAAAGTCTGTCACTGCCGCCACGTTTTCTCCCTCTATTTGGCAGTTATCAATCAGTCTGGATGTCATGACTTTGGGTTTTTATGTTTAACTGCAACCCAGCTTTTGCACTTTCTTCTTTCACCTTGGTTTGAAGGCTCCTCAGCTCCTCTTTACTTTCGGTCATCAAAGTGATATCATATGCATATCTAAGGTTGTTAATGTTTAGTCCAGCAATTTTAACTTCAGCCTTGGATTCGTCAAGCTCCGCACGTTGCATGATGTATTCTGCATAGTTGAATAGGTTGGGTGAGAGTATACAACCCTGCCATATGCCTTTCCCAATCTTGAACCAGTCAGTTGTTCCACAATTTATTATGATCCACCCAGTGAAAGTCTTTAGAATAGCCAATAAAAGAGAAATAGATGTTTTTCTGAAACTCCCTGCCTTTCTCCATTATCCAGTGGATATTGGCAATTTGGTCTCTCATTCCTCTGCCTTTTCTAAATCCTGTTTGTACATCTGGCAAAAGACTTATGGAACCTGAAAGTGGTATCTTCTTTTTACTCCAGCCCCATGAACCCTAAAACAGCTTTTTGGGCAGCTTGAAAGCTCCAGGGATAATAAGAAAATAAAGAAATTCTGTCACCTGCATCCTCTTTGATTTAAACTGATGGCTATCCATAGAACTGTGAGACCTTCTAAACAGACTCCTGCAGGAGAGATAAAGTGGAGTATAAATAAATATAATAGTAATAGTAAAATTTTGGATTATATTAAATAATCAAGTTACTAAATTTTTTACACAGTAAACACTCATTTAATCTTAAAATGGCTCTATTTGAAATAATTGGTGTTTGTTTACTATAACAATTGTTTCACAGTATTTTAAGAATTTAAGAGGACAAATGTTTTGTAAGCATAATTTATATTTTATAAAAGTTTCAGGACTATAATTTCCTATATTGATGAACAGTTTGAGCGCTATCTTCATGATGAGAGTGGTTTGAACAGACGACATATCGTAGATAATCGAGTTCACTGCTGCTTCTATTTCATTTCACCATTTGGCCATGGGTAGGTATTGTACTAATTATGGATTTGAGACAAAAAAAAATTTGTTTTATGTAGTAGCTTACCTCTTAAAAACTTTTCAAAATAACAATTAACCAATATTTGAAAATGTCTAATATTTTATCTCCTTTAAATATGTGTACATGGTATTAAATTGTAGTGTAACAATTTTATCTGACAGTTCTCATATGTTTTTAAGAAGTACATGCCATAAGAAAGTAATTTTTATTTTTTAGACTCAAGCCATTAGATGTTGAGTTCATGAAAGCCATTCACAACAAAGTCAACATTGTACCTGTAATTGCAAAAGCTGACACTCTTACTCTGAAGGAGCGGGAAAGACTGAAGAAAAGGGTGAGCTTTTATATTCATAGAAGCATGGGAAAATATGTGACAGGCAGGGAAAATATGTGACAGGCAATCAAACAGATGCTAAGTAAATCTGTGACATCTTAAGAGTCTCTGTGGCTTGTTCGACACTACTTAGTGAGGCCAGTGTGCACTTTGAGCTTATTTTAGTTCTTTTGTCCTACCCCCTTCTCCTTTGTTCATCTTGAAAACAAAGTAATATGTATGAATTTTGGGATCAAAACAGTCCTTTACACATATTGAAAAGCAGTTTAGTGAAAGAAGAGGCTATTAGGCTTTCCAACTGTATGTCTTTGTGCCCTGTTGATCACTCTGACTGTCAGAATCTGCTATGAAAAAAATTAGGTAGAGAAGACCTGCTGTGCTTGTTATCTTTGGATCTCAATCTATATTAGCCTATATTTTCTCTAGATTCTGGATGAGATTGAAGAGCACAGCATCAAGATTTATCATTTGCCTGATGCTGAATCAGATGAGGATGAAGACTTTAAAGAACAGACCAGGCTTTTGAAGGTAAGGAGTGTTAATGAAATCGAAAACAGTGATAATTTTCATTGCCAAATATCAGAAGCTTTATGCTATCCTCTTCTATTCCAAGTTATTATCAGAGTTGTACATGAAACATCTTGAAGTGTGATATTTTTTTTACTGTGCTGCAGGCCTAAATTCAGTATCAAGCTAGTGTCCATCTGCTAGTACGGTTTCTTCTCTCCCCTTGCAACTGTATGCACTACCCAAAACTTTACTTTTCCAAACTCTCTGGAGCAAAGTTTAAAGAGAAATTCTTTGTGGTACTTGTTACTTCATTGAGGAAGACCTGTCTGATCTCCTCCCTGTTCTTTGACTACATTTCTTCAGGCAGGCTTTTGTTAACTTATGGGCTTCTAAAGATGGGACTTTTAATGGGGAATACTATACTTTCTACTTTTTCTCTGATGTGCAGTTTACTTGATTTTGATTTACCCGTATATTCCGTCATATAAGACGACTGGGCGTATAAGACGACCCCCAACTTTTCCAGTTAAAATATAGAGTTAAGACAACTCCCATGCATAAGACTACACCTGCGTATAAGACGACCCCTGACTTTTGAGAAGATTTTCTTGGGTTAAAAAGTAGTCTTATACACCAGAATATATTGTACATTTGAGAATTCTTTACCCATAAGGTTTTGGATTCCCATTTGAGGGAAAAGGCAGGATACCTATGGTATATTCTGTGCTTAAAAGCATTGAAAGATGCTTACTGTTTTGCTGATAAAGAGTTCCATCAGTGGTAAAATACTGTTGAATCCCGGCCACTACCTGCTTATCCATGGTCATGGTCCTGAATTCTAATCTCTGGAAAAGTAGTTACTTCTGTATAAATACTTGAGATGATTATGATATTCGTAAAACATTTTAGCCACTTCAAGAAAATGTAATGGTTACACTTCTTTTATTGACTTCAATTCCAGACCAGCATTCCATTTTGTGTAGTTGGATCCAATCAACTAATTGAAGCCAAGGGTAAAAAGGTTAGAGGTCGTCTCTATCCTTGGGGAGTTGTTGAAGTGGAAAACCCCGAACATAACGACTTCTTGAAACTAAGAACCATGCTAATGTAAGCATATTGCCTTTGCCTAAATACTAAATTGAGTGATATTTCATCCCATGTTCTGTCTCCTGCTGAAAAGGGATGATCATATTTTTTGTTCAACAGTTAAGGATGATGAATACCATTCCCTAACAATTTTTGTGATTGAAAAAAAAAACTGGAACAAACTATTCAAAATAATTAAGTATTAACTACTTGGCAGTCCCAGAAGGAATTTAATGGAAATTTTGAAAGCACCTTTGAACTGGAGATAAAATTATTTCCATCAATCTAATACTGAACTGTTGAACTTGAAATATCTTGCATGGTTAGATTAGCTGCATAGGTGGAAATATGTTCTCTGTGTTTATAACATGATGAATTTTATAGGTTTAATTTGTTGTGCTTTCCTGACCTTTGCTTCGTATAGCCTTCTTTCAGGAGATAAAATGACATTACTCAGCTGATAACGAATGTGGGATTACTGTCCTTTTAGCACCCACATGCAGGATCTCCAGGAAGTGACTCAAGACCTTCACTATGAAAACTTCCGTTCTGAAAGACTTAAAAAGGGTGGCAGGTGAGGATCTAATTTACTGAATTAATATTTCCATTTAGTTACTTTCCATCTTCATATTTTAACCTCTATGCAATCAAAAATACGTAATTTAAGCTTGTTTACTAGGTTTTCTGACACTTTGTTTGAAAGCGAAGTATCTGTATTCAGCTCTGGCCTACTCTTATCTTTAAGTATCAGAGCGGACTAATTTTTAAAATAATGCATAGAAATAATAATGAGAGAAAATCATAATTGGGCAAGTCTACAAAAAGAATGTATGATTAATATGAAGCTGTAGTGAGGGATAAATTCTCATCCATTGAATCAGATCTTTATTTTTAAAGTGTTATTTCTAGTATCCTGCTTATTTTTTTATTTTGTAATTTTTAAAAGCCTAAAATGAAACTTCTATTTTTAAATTGGTTGGGCTAGTGAAATATTCTTAATGAGAGTTTCTTGTAAATGGTCTTCTTTTTTTAGAAAAATGAAAGGGCATTTTTGTTCTTGCTATAATTATGTGTCCTTTTCCTCCTTCTCCCCAAAGTCGGAAGGTAGAAGATGAGGATGCCAATAAAGACCAGATTTTATTGGAAAAGGAAGCTGAAGTAAGGATTTTCCTTTTACTCAAAATATGTATAGTACTTCACGAGAGGCACTTTACTTTGTTTCTCAGTAAGACCCGGCTTTCTTTTATTCCATTTAATTTACTACAGATTAAGAGTATATATTTTAAGATCGCATTTTACTTCAGTTGAGAGGGAAGAAATTCATTCAGATTGCTATGAGATACTGTTTTGGTGTATTGGTTCTGGAGTGTTACTATGGCAAAGAATGGGAGGAAACCAATATGTTACTTCTTCTCTTGTAACATACTTGCCCAGAGAAAATGTGATAACAGTTTGTTTGTTTTTTAGCTCCGTCGCATGCAAGAAATGATTGCCAGGATGCAGGCGCAGATGCAGATGCAAAGGCAGGGTGGCGAGGGAGACAGTGCTGTGGCTCATGGGCATAAAGTTTAAATTATTTGGTAAGATTACTTTTTTATAGAAAAATAATGCAGTAATTGTTAGAATAGAGATGGCTCAATATAGCTTTTTAATGGTTAAAAATGTAAAGCTCAACAAAACCTTTAAAGTATTCTCAGTTCTATTATATGGTTTGGAGTTGAGACCTTTCAGGATTGTGGGCTCCCCTATTTCAATAAAGTACAACCAATTGAATTATGGACTTTTTAGAGGATGTTAAGAATTTAAGTGTATAAAACTGTAATATTTTAGTAATAACAATAGTTGAAATGTACAATGTACAGTTAATTCAAGGCAAATTAAATAAGAAATAAATGCTGTAAGAAATTCATTGCTGGGGGAAAATCAACTCAAGGATTGAATCCAGTGCAATATATATGTATAGCCATATCCAGAAAATAATTCTGTCATGATGTTGTCTGACCTCTAATAGAGAAGGAACAAGAAGGAGTCAAAGATACCAAGGGCTCTTGTCTCCCCTTCTCCTTTAATATTTTAGCACAAAAATGTAATAAACATGCTGCATGTTAGGGTTACACATGCTATACAGTGTGTCAATACTGTCCTTTTTGCAGATACCATCATTAAATGAAGCCATTTCAGACGTGATGCAGTGGCATATTTGGTGGCGAGAGATGCTTCTTATGAGACGGAAGACCATTTGCATTCAACATTGGAAATACATTGTGGTCATTTTTGTAATGCCTACTTTGTAAACAACAAATTTGGTCAATATTTTAATGTTGGTTTAATGTTATGTGGTGATTTATTAACTTTGATAGTTTTACTCTTTTACTGAACTTTTAAAAAAATATATCCTGGTTACATAGATACTCCAAATGTTTCCTAACTTGATACTATTCATGTGACAATGTGGATTACTATCACTATTTTGTGTTTCTTTGGTTACACTGAAGGGATCATGTGATTTTGACCACTGCCCCTAAGGTCCAAAATCTGCATGTGTGCTTTGCATTTCCTCTGTAGCCTTTCCTAATGACCTAGTAGTCTGGTTTATATGCACATACAACAAAAGGAATTTAAACCATTATCTCGATAAATAAGAAATCTTTATTTGCTCAGTATTAAGTACTTTTGATGCAGAAATTTATAAAGACGGTTGTGAGTGAACATTTGGGCCTTGAAATAGTGTTCTTTGGTTTTAGGCTATCCAACAATACAAGTGACAATTTTTTCAGTGCCATTTCTTGCATTTCGTAGGATATTAGTCCTGTGTGCCTCTAACACCCCTGAGCTGCTCTACATTTCTACAACTGCAGTGTTATTCTACCACGTTGCTACCACACATGTAATATTTTGTGTCATAACTGAAAAAATAGAACAAAACTTACAGTATAATGTTCAAAAGGCATGTTACAATATAGGAAACAATTGCTGTCAGATCTTCAGGAATATATATTTTTGTATATTTTACCTTTTTTTAAAAAAAGTTAGACCAAAAGACACCCTCAGGCATATTTTGTCTGGCAGCGCTGGTTTTGCCATAGGAAAAATCAGGCACTGGCATTTGCACTGTGAGGAAAGAGTAACTTTAAGTCTCGTGCTGTTTAGTCTTCCATCTTCAATAATATACAAAATCGCTTAGAGTGTGCAGGTTGTCTGCTGACATCTTTCTCCTGGTCCCTGTTACATACTGATTGTTTTCTTATAATGTTCTGTGTCTTTGTACTTTGTTTTGACAACTATTCTGGAAAATAATGGAAGTCTATGCTTCTCCATTAACAAACCAAGTTAATGGTGGTCCATACAGAATATGGATCTAATACAGTAGTTTTAGCAGTAACTTTAATTCTAAAGAATTGTCATTTTAATTGTTGCTCCCGAAAGTGTTGCAAATGTCTATATACATATCCATGTAGATAAGTATATCCAACTATCTCTTAAAATTGAAGAGCAGTTCATGTGAAGTGACCCTGCTTGATCATAAAATTCCTTTCTTCTTTAGAAGTTTACTAACATTTGATTTTTCATTTTTATGGCAGTAAAAGTTGTTTGCTGTGTGCTAATCTTGTATTGCCATAAATAAAAAGTTGCATTAAAACGAACATTTGTAGTATACAGTAGAACTGCAGGGAGAGGTTTACAGCGTCCTAGTGGTTTTATTTTTTAATGTTAATCTATTTTGAGTGTCTGTTCTACTCAACCATTGCTGTTGTAGAATTTATAATTCAAGCAGTTTACAACTCAGTGCCAAAAGACTGAACATGGGTACTCGGTGCATGATACTGTTTCTAATATTTAATATGTAGACTTTGTTTTAAAATCAAACCCTCATTTCCACAAACTGTTATTTAAGTTCCTAATTACTTCATCTGAAACATAAGAATAAACAGTGTCTGAAGCTTTAGGGCTTTAGTTTTTGGGCTTGCTTTGAAATCTGCCAGAGCTGACCTTGAATAACAAAAAGAAGTGAAAAAAATTGTATAATATAAAATTCAAGAGAATAGGAATGTAATAATAGGATTATAGAAGAGATACCTATTAAACAAAGAAACCATATTTGCTAACTACCCCTTTCCCTGTTTGTCTTCTGTCATAATATATATGGTTCAAGCAAATCTTCCAACCTTCCAGAACAGATTTTTGATAGGGAGCTGTAAGGAGGTACAAACTCCTAGTTCTGTTCGCTGAGCTGTGGAATTTTGTGACCACTGTTTTGCTCATCCATCTCTGGACTCCATCTAGAATGTTCATATACTTGGCTGAAATGGTAAAACTTCCATTAAAACATTCCAAGTAATTCCAAAAACAGATCATAAGCTTTTGGCTGTATGTTTATCTTTCTCCTTTCCTCAAAAGTAGCCATTTCAATATTTTTGCCCTACATCAAATCACATACAGAGGGGTTAAGTTATGCTTGTTTTGAACACACTTCTGAAATCTCCTATTTCTCAGGATCATGTTTGAACTGGTATTGGCAGCCTCTGTGTGAGTTTATTACTCTAATAAACCATAATGCATTGGGTTAATTTGCCAATTATAGGAAAACTGTATGTGTGTGCCAAATAATTAGTGGAAGCTTAACCCCACTTTATATCTCAGTTTTCATTAAATACCTAACAAATCGTACATTCATTCTGAACTAATATGCACCCCTGCATGTTTAGCTTGGTTGCTGTGAATAGACCATTGCATACTGTGGTCTTTGCCTGTGGAATTGTATTTTGAAGTGTCTTGGCTTTTTATGTTAGCTTGTAACTATTCAAACTCTTTAAAGATACTAAACATTCATAAATTACTCTTTTGGATTTCTTTTTATTTAAATTTTTAAGATATTTTAACAAAGTGGGGCGTAAGTTCCATGGGACTAATTGATATTTTTGTGCCTGGCATAGTTCTAAAATCTGTTTGTACCTTTTTTTCTGCAGTGAGCCGTATTCCAATATTTAGTGTTGAATAAAAGTAGTAATAACTAAAGTTATTATCAGGCAGTCTTCAACCTTTGGAAATATAGTTGGCATCAGAATAGCTTCTGTCCTCCTTCAGGATACTTGCCAGTCTATAGAGCATTCCAAACACTTTTCTTGAATAAAAGTTAACATACTTACAATTTTAAGAGTATATTATTAACACTTTTACTGTTTTGTATTGGGATACTTAAAAGGGCTAATTTTGTATAAGACAATTTTAACATGAAATTGGTTTACTGTACCCTCAACATTAGCCAAGACTATTAATAAACATAACATATTAAAATGGGTGTGTCTGCTGTGAATTGTTTGGACAACAGCTAGCAAGTAAAATGTAAAAAAGATGTTTCTATATAAGATAAGTTGACTTTTCTGTAAACATACTGATTATAACCTGAGATAAGGTAACACATTCTCAGTCCTTTCAGAACACCATATTCACTCATATTTTTAAGGGTATATTATCAAAATGTTGGTGTATTTGATGGATTTTGAAACTGCCTGCCAGATTCTATGATGTCCTTCAAGAAGGAGAGCAGCCTAACCTCCTGTGAAATGGACTTCCAGAGGATGTAAGCAGCTACTGAGAAGGCTTGCTTATGTCCTCAGCAAGTGAGCCTGTGATGGTGGTGGGACTGACAAAAAGCTTCTCCCTCGCCCCTGCAGATTATGTTAGAACTCTAGCAGGTCTGAATGGGACGATTCAGTCTTTTGGATATTCTGGATCTTCGGCATATAGAACTTTATTGGTATTTTTTATTTCTCGTGTCAGAGCAGCCAGTCAATTATATTACATTTCTAACAGAACAAAGCAAACAAACAGAGAAAATACAAAATGTGTGAGTTTGGTAGTTGATTAAATGTCCTTTGACCAGTATCTGGCCACTTGGAGTGCTTCTGGTGTTGCTGCAAGAAGGTCCTCCATGGTGCATGTGGCTGGGCTCAGGTTGCATTGCAGCAGGTGGTCAGTGGTTTGCTCCTCTCTGCACTTGCATGTCGAGGATTCCACTTTGTAGCCCCATTTCTGAAGGTTGGCTCTGCATCTTGTGGTGCCAGAGCGCAGTCTGTTCAGCGCCTTCCAAGTCGCCCAGTCCTCTGTGTGCCCAGGGGGGAGTTTCTCATTTGGTATCAGCCATTGGTTGAGGTTCTGGGTTTGAGCCTGCCACTTTTGGACTCTCGCTTGCTGATGTGTTCCAGCGAGTGTCTCTGTAGATCTTAGAAAACTATTTCTAGATTTAAGTCGTTGACGTGCTGGCTGATACCCAAACAGGGGATGAGCTGGAGATGTCTCTGCCTTGGTCCTTTCACTATTGGCTGCTCTTTCCCGGCAGATGTCAGGTGGTGCAATACCGGCTAAGCAGTGTAATTTCTCCAGTGGTGTAGGGCGCAGACACCCGTGATAATGCGGCATGTCTCATTAAGAGCCACATCCACTGTTTTAGTGTGGTGAGATGTGTTCCACACTGGGCATGCATACTCAGCAGCAGAGTAGCACAGCGCAAGGGCAGATGTCTTCACTGTATCTGGTTGTGATCCCCAGGTTGTGCCAGTCAGCTTTCGTATGATATTGTTTCTAGCACCCACTTTTTGCTTGATGTTCAGGCAGTGCTTCTTGTAGGTAAGAGCACGGTCCAGATTGACTCCCAGGTATTTGGGTGCGCTGCAATGCTCCAGTGGGATTCCTTCCCAGGTGATCTTCAGAGCTCGGGATGCTTCTCTGTTCTTGAGATGAAAGGCACATATCTGTGTTTTAGATGGGTTGGGGATCAGCTGGTTTTCCCTGTAATAGGCAGTAAGAGCACCTAGAGCTTCGGAAAGCTTCTGTTCTACCATCTCAAAGCTCCCTGCTTGAGCAGTAATGGCACGATCATCAGCATAGATGAAACTCTCTGTCCCTTCTGGCAGTGGCTGGTCGTTTGTGTTGAACATGGATGGAGCAAGCACACTTTATTGGTCATGACCAGCACTTTGAATTGTGCCCAGAACCACACCAGTGAAGCTGTTGGAGCAAGAGTTAAATGCTTACTATAACTGGCCCCAGTCAGCTTTTTGGCCATAAGTTTATGAACAATTTCTAAAGATAGACCCAAGTAGAGTGTGTTAGTAGTAGGCCAAATAGGATGTAACCAAGGTATGCATCACTGTAGCTAGAGCTGATGCTTCAAGGAACAGACATGACTGGTATACTAGGATTAATTTTCCAAATGTATTCCTGGCCACTGTTAAAAGCTGGCATTCAAGTTCCAACATTGAGTTCAGGAGAACAGCCAAACAGAGGGAGTATAACCACATCTAGCAGAGGTGGAATCCCTATTCCCTTATGTGCCTTTGATCAAGAGCACCTCCGTCTTGTCTGCATTAAGTTTCATTTTATTTATTTATTTCCAGTATTTCTACCCTGTCCTTCTCAACCCTCAAAGGGTGACTCAGGACGGCCTACATTTGGCACAATTTGATGCCATTAAATATAACAAAGCAATATAACAACAATTAAAACAATATTAACCACCGTATCACTATTCCAGTCTAATTCCATATCCAAAGCACTATTTATGCCTGCTGTCCAAGAGCCTGGTCCCAGAACCACGACTTTCAATTTCTTCCTAAAAGACAGGAGGGATGAAGCCAATCTTACCTCATTGGGAAGCGAGTTCCTCAGGCGAGGGGCTACAGCCGAGAAGGTCCTGTCTCTCGTCCCCGCCAGACATATTTGCGATGCTGGCAGGAGCGAGAGCAGGGTCTCCCCGGATGATCTTAAACTGCAAGGCAGGACGTCGTGGGACAAGTAAGCTGGGCCAGAACTTTATAGAGCTTTATAGGTCAAAACCAGCACTTTGAATTGAGTTCGGAAATGGATCGGCAGCCAGTGGAGCTGACACAACAAGGGGGTGGTGTGCTCCCTCTATGTTGCTTCGGTTAGTAATCTGGCTGCAGCCCGTTGGACTAGTTGAAGTTTCCAAACAGTCTTCAAAGGCAGCCCCACGTAGAGTGCATTGCAGTAATTATTCGGGATGCAACAAGAGCGTGGACACTTGCCAGGTCAGACTTCCCAAGGTACGGATGCAGCTGGCACACAAGCTTTAATTTTCCCCTCATGTAGACATTGGTTCGGTAATCAGATGGAAAGGAGAGGTAGAGTGGGTGTCAGCATGTTGGAAACACCAAAGCGCAAAAGTCCGAATGACTTTTCCCAGCTATTTCATATAGGTGTTAAATACATGAACAGAACAGCACCCTAAGGGACCCCACAGGCCAATGGTCAGGGTATAGGAGCCATATAGCCCAAAAAACCTACAACAACCCAGTGATTCCAGCCATGAAAGCCTTCGACAATATATAGAAGTATCTGTTTGGATGTTGAAATCCCACAATACTATGAACTAAGAAGACTCAAACACTGCTGCTGAGACCAGGTCAGCTAGCTCAGAAAGGAAGATGGTTGAACAGTGGATTGGGCAATAAGCAAAGGAATCCTTATTCCGTCTTGGACATACACCTTCAAATGCATGCATGAATCCAGCAGACCATGGTACAGGGCCTCTGGTGAAGGACCTGGAATGATATGAGTCCACTGGAACTCTGTATTCCCCTCGCCCCATGCCAGGCCTTGCCTGCTATACAGAAAATCTAATTGGACAAAGCTGGGAGAAGTTGCCCTGCTTCCACAGCTTCATTCAACTAGGCCTCTTGCATACATGCCAGGTCAGTATGGTCTTCCAGGATCAAATCCTGGATCAAGGAAGTTTTTCCATTCACCAATGTGGCATTAGGCAGTGTCATTTACAGCCCAAGGGACATGTTGCCAAGTCCATCCAGACTATTTGAAATGGGGACAGCTTGGGGATAACACTCTATGGCTCTCCCCTTTTATCATTACTACCAGTCTAAGGGAAGCAAGGCAGGAGATCGGGACAGGCATGTTTTCTGCTGCTCTAGGGACTACGACACAATGGGGCAATGGATTCAAATTACAGGAAAAGAGATTCTACCTAAACATCAGGAAGAACTTCCTTATGGTAAGAGCTGTCCAACTGTGGAATATGCTTCCTTGGAGTATGGTGGAGTCACCTTCTCTGAAGGTTTTTAAACAGAGGTTGGATGGCCATCTGTTGGGAGCACTTTGTGTATTCCTGCATGGCAGAATGGGATTGGACTGAATGGCCTCTGGTGTCTCTTTAAACTCTTATGATTCAGAAAGAAATACAACTAATAGATGTTGACATGCATCCAGAACTAAGCTTGACCTGGACACATATAATTAAAAGCTTCAAAGAACATAGTGGGGCCTAGTGCTTAGTTGTTCGGGCCTTTTTGTTTGACCATGTCAGGATTTCAGAATTAGATATGAGGAAACATGCATGGAATTGAATAGTTAATCTAATCGCAGTCAAGAATATTTCTCACTAGAGGGCAGCATATTCTTGTTTTTCCTTGCCTTTGGTGTGCAACAAGTCTTATTTCCGATTCCATTTTACATTTCTTGTTTAATTTCAATATAAAAATTGTATGCATTATTATCTGTCTCCATATTTGATTACTTTGGTGGGTATCAGCATTATTTCCTTAGTTTCATCTGCTGTAAGATGATCCTTTAGGGGGTGTAACAACCTGCTTCAACGAGTAGGTTGAAAGAGTGTTGAAAGACAAGCGAAGACCAAGTATGTGCATAAACATGTTTCAAAATGTCTTTAATTCAGTATAATTGAAGAGGAATATTTTTCTCTGTGTAAAGAAAATTAAACTGTAAATTTATTTTGATGTGTTCCAAATATATGATGAAATAGACAAATTAACTTCCAATACAACCATTCCATTGTTAACAATACAAAAACAGTGCTCCCTATATTTAACCATATTTTGAAAACAATTCAATATTCTTCTTAAATACATACACATAATCTTTGAGGCATGAAATGAAACTAGAAAGGGCAGTTGTCACCACAATGTCATTCAAAATCATTTTAATAACATTGTATGACGCAGCCTAAAAGGGATAAGCAGTATTTTTACAACTTTAATATAAAGCTTTATAGAAGTAAGCAGTTCTTTTATCTCTCCCATCTTTACAAGTTAGATTTTGTTATTTGATCTTCCATGTTGTTTTCACGTCCCTATTTTCACAGTGTCAGTCTATTAACTTTGCAGTTGCTTTCTCTCCCATTTTAGAGACTGAATCTTTCAAAGATTCATATCCTGCACCTGATATGTTTGTGGAAAAGCATGCATGTTTATGAAAACCTCTATTTTCATTGTTGCATGTGGTGTGGTTTGAGGTAAATAATTCAT